TATATATAGTTACATGAAAGAGAAAAAAAACATACATATATAGTCAGAACATTTTCGTACATTGATTGATATCTTATACACCCTTTTTTTTTCTCTTTCATGTAACTATATATAAGGTTTTTTTTCTTTCATATAACTTCATTTTATTTTTGACTGATGAAGTTAACAGTAGTTAACGAAACGTTTCACAAATAAAATATGATTTATTTGATAGCTATTTCTTTATTATTTATTATTAAATGCATTTACCGAAAAATAAATAATAAGTATTTATTCATCGAGAACTTACTCGTTTATTCCTTGTTTCTATATTAGCAAGAATAAACAGCTTTTTGTAATCAAAGCAAATCTGTCGATGGGTTTGAAGACTAACCTTGATTACCTAATATTTGTTCTACTTAAGAAAATATTGATTGTTTCAAAGACAGGTTTTTTTAAAAAAGATTTTATGTTGTAGTTTTCAAATATCTATCGACATTTCAAATCTGACAAGCGCTCATTCATCACAGGAAACATACAAAATTTAGTTGACAATGACGATACCAGAGACAATGAACAAGGTGAGACTCAATCAACCTCGTCGATTCCACGTCAATCAAACTCAACTTCAGTCAGAGCTACATCTTCCAAGATCAAGAGTCGTATTCGTTCTACTTCAAATATCTCGAAGAAGAAAAGAAAACGGTCAAATTAGGTATTTTATTTCATCAGAGAATAGTTGTTTTTTATTGTTTATTTGTTAATGCTATTATTTGTCTCTATGACATTTTTATTATATATCTGTTAGATTTTTCCAATATTGATGCGTTTTTTGAAATTAAAGTAATTTATTTTGTATTAGATTTTGACGTTCGTTTATGAACAGACAACCACAGAATATATATTAGTAGAATACTTTTCATCTTTAATATAATTCAATCGATTGATTATTCTTTTAGATTACAATATCAGGATTTTCTAAATAAAACCTCTAACGTTGCTTCTAGAAAAAATCTTCTAATGCCCATATCATTATCTAATAACATTTTCGAGCTTCAGCATGAAGGTTTCTTGTAAGTGGTGCAACAACAATGTGGGGCTACAATGGTCGAAATTTTACAATACCTCGAGATTAATTCTGCCGATTCTCTTCTTATTATAGAAGATTTATTCACCTTTTTTCGTCACGACTCACCCGATCTGATATCAATGAAAAACAGAGTGGGAATCACTTTAAGTAATGGAAATTTTCTAGTGAAGAAAGGTCTTTTATTTCGAGCTAATGCTTTCATTCAGGCATAACACGCACTTCAACAGCAAACAAATTCATCAGCATCTAATTTGATCATTTCTTCTGCTCTTCTCAATTAATATCCTATTCTGCGAGGAATTATTTGTATGTTTGGAAATTTTTCATCGCAATCCGATCAGTCTTTCAACACTTTTAAATATACCGTCATTGAAACAATTATTTCAAACCATGATTGTGCAAAGACTCGTTATTCTTACAATGATTCTATTCGTGAATTTGCTTTATGTATCTTCATTCTCGGCGGTCGTAATGTCTAAGAACTTATCCACCTCAACATTCCAAGTTTTCTTCCAAGTTTAACTGTCATTCAATGCTTGCTCGATTCCACTAGCAGTCGCATCGCAGAAGCAGAATTCAGATATAATCTTATGTCTGATTGTTTTCTATCTCAAAGGACAAAATTTATCTTCGCTGCCGAAGATTGCACTGCTGTAGTGCCCCGAATTATATATGACGTTCAAGCGAACACATTTATCGGTTTCACACCTCATCTTGAAGATGGTTTACTACAAATTAATTCGTTTTCTACTGAATCTTTTTCTGAACTCGAAAACTGATTTAACATGTTAACCAGATCTCATTTTCTTAACCTACAAATGATCCAACCTATTAACCTAAGTGGTGTTTCTTCCTCATCGTTTCTTCTCTCTGTTTATGTAACTGACAATCGTTTCACAACTGAAGATATTTTAACGAAGTGGATGAGTATTGTTAATCAATGCAATGAACAAGATGTAAAAGCGGTCGGCTTTGCAACCGATTGTGACTCTCGTTACTTAAGATCAATGCGTCTTTTCATGGGTCTTTTTGCTGATATGGCAAATCAACAAATTTATCTACGCGATGATACGTTTCATGTTGATACTTCTAAAGTGATTTCAATATTTTAAAGTTTCAAACTTTCTCATACTACTTTCTTTTGTATTGTAGCATTGGAACTGGTTCTTTATGAGAAACCATCAACTTATTTTACTCTTTCAAGATAGTATTCATTTATGTACAAAGTTAAGAAACAGATTATTATCTTCTAAGGCTACAATGTTATTAGGTGATGAACTCATTAGTATTGACTATTTTGTTCAACTAATCGAATCATCATCAAAACCAAATCATAATTTCGTTACATCTGATATTCTACCAAAAGATCGGCAGAATTATTCATCCTGCGAAAAAATATCAAATGAAGCTGCTCTCGACGGACTCGTTTCTATAGCAAACTCACGTGCAACTCGAATTTATCTTGAAGTATGCCTGTTTATAAGCTTATTGGTGTTGAAAAACCTCATATATATTTTCTTGTTACACTATAGCTCATTCGAAATATTCGATTTGCTTTTATCAATAAGAAAACTAGTTATCTTGATCGGATTTACTATTCATGGACAAATGTCTTTCTGATTCGATATTGGTACATCTGGTTAAGTTCAAAGAATAAAAGTGATCTTGATTTTACTCTTATCAAATTATCTTCTGTGAAGCATCAAAAGAAGAAAACAAAGCACCAATACTTTATAAGCCTTCCAGGGATGTTTTCGATCGAAATCAATAGTCATACACCCGTCTATCTCGCTCTACTTGTTATGCAACAACTTTTACCAACAGAATGCTTTAATGTATCCATATTTAACTCACAATGTTGTGAAAGTACCTTCGGTTCATGCCGCGCCATGTCAGGACCTTTTTCTTCAATAGTCAATTTTAGTGTTCATCAATTTCTTCAACGAGCAAAAAAGTTATGTTATTTAAATTCTGTTAAATGTTAAAACAACAGCAGTAATATAAATAATGGTTTTCTATTTCCACGTCATCACAAACTGTCTAAAGTAGTCGATTCCAAACAAATGTCGTCTTTATTGTCATCTTCTATTGCATCGCTTTCACTTGAAGCGATCGAGAATACTATTGTACGTGCATATTCAGATGTTTGTCGTCTTGTACTTGATACGAATATGTATCAACAAGATCAAATTTTACCATTGGAAAAAATGTCGAAATTATCTAGTCTTCAACTTATGAAGTTACGAATAGTCGATTATTTCTGTCCTGACAAATATGATCCGAATTTCGATTCAGATTCAGACGATAACAGTTCCGACGAAGATGAAGAAATCACCGAAAATGACGCAGATGGCGATGATTCACCCGACGATGAAGACGACGACAGTTTGTCTGATCATCTTGTCAGTGCCAGTACGGTTATATTTCAAGGAATGCGCGTTTTCGACTCCATTAATCCGACTTTGGCTAAGTCGTACTTTATTGTCAATATCAATGATACAAGAAAATATTTACATAAACAGACAGCTGCTTGGCTTCTTTCAAAGGACAAGCCTACTTTGTCTTCTGATCGTTTAAAGCGTGTTATGACTAATAAATAAAATATGCTTCTCTTACATTTCTGAATACTAAATATTCACATTCTCTCTTTGGCATCTTATACAAACTCTCGAAGATGATTTTAGCTGATATTACATAGAAACGTCTGTCCTTTTTCACTTGCTAAGAATGTGAAAGGAATTTATCTTATTTTCCTCGTTAATATATTCACTTTTTCTATGAAAACTTCTTAGTCAAGTTAAAGAATTCTTTTGATGCTCTAACACAGAAATCTTATGTTTGCTATAAAATCTTCGACTGGCTGTTTTTCGATATAAAAGAGTATAAACAATCATTG